TTGGCCTAGATCCCCACATGGCCAATGGAATGTCAGAATTTGAATGACGTTGTTATGGCGTCATGAGCGCCTGGGTAACCTTCACATAGTCTTCACTAAATAGCCTGCACATCTTAGTCGGTGTGTATCTCAGAAACAATGGGGAGGAGGTCTTATGAAGGGCAGGGCTGTAAAATGCACCGAATGATGTTCAAAATGGCCATTTCAGTTCAAACCCTGTACAAATGTGGAACACTCCCTTTAAGATAGCGAAGTAAAAATTTGATCCCTGAAATAGTGCTCGACTTGTGCGCCCCGTTTCACATTCTGCACAGCCAGTGCCCTGTTTCACCAGAAATGGGAGATTTTCGTTTTCAGAACTGTAAATGCTTCGCGCGTGCGGCTGCAGCCCGAACTGGTCTGCCACCTGCCGTCCGCTAGGTGGCGCTGAGGGTAGGCAGGCGCCGAATAGCCGGCCATAGACTGCACCGGAATCGGCGCAACAACTCAGTCGGGCTTTGCTCTTTTGTAATTTAGTTCGGAAGTGTGTGGGTTAGGACGGGTGCATGCTGATACCCCATCTTAGCCAAAGGACGCCCCAAACGGTTTAAATGAGGCGACAGCACACCCGTGAGCGCAACCACCTATGCGTTCCACCCCCTATCACTTTGCGGCAGATTAAGTTATGGTCGTGTCTACGAATAAAATGGCGTAGAAATTGAACCCCAATAACACTGAAGGCATAGTTATATCACTGTACACTCCTGCGGATATTCTGAGAAAAAAAAAACAGGAAAAACACTTCGTATTAATGCACTGTGTCAGCCAGCAGCACTTTTATAAGTGCCAGATTCTATCCCTAAAATTCAAGATCGCCTTGATTTGATTTCAGGAAAATGCAAGTCCAGCAATGACGCGGAAACTACAGCTTTTGGATTCAAGGCGCCTTGCTCCATCGTCGCAGTGTCGAATGTCAGATGGTGATTAGCCTGTCATCGGCTGCTCTGTCGTCACTGCTCTGAGTGATGATGTTTTTCTGATTATAGTTGTCTCTTTATTAAATTAACAGAGGCATCGCACATCTAAGATGGATCCTACCTCTACCTAGCCATGGTTTAGTCCTGAGCGGATTTGTAGTTGACTGGACTTGACCGTTTGGGTGGATTTGTCGTCGTGGTTTTGCCTCTCAGCTCGTAGGTCGCAAGTTTTTCAATGCAGTATCGTCATTTTCAACGCTCTGCACCGACATGGCGCTTTCATTGCCAACTCTCCACATGATGCCTGGAGAAAAATTTGAAGGGAAAAATCGAAAGGGCAAAAAGTCTAACGCATAGAATGTGAATCGGAAAAGATTCAAGAATATCAAGTCGAAGGCAATTCAATTCGAAACGGAAAAGCCCAAGGATTAAAAGTCAAAATGGATGAAAGCTGACAGCGATGGAATTCAAATCGGCAAACAGTCCAAAGACATGAAGCCGACAAGTACGGCAAGTCGGATTGCAAGGAAGTTCGAAGGAATAAATTTCGACAAGGGCAAATTATTGGAAACATAATTAATCAGTCAGCAACTAGATCACCAGCGGAAACCATTAACCAGGGCGTTGGGTTTGTAAAAGGCCTGGTGGGGACTAGGAAATCAGTCTCTGGTGTTTGCGGAAAGCCAGTGGAAACTGGAGCCTGGGTGGTAGTGTTTTTGAAGGAACCAGTGAGAACTAGGAACCCATCTTTGCATTTTCAAAACAATCAGTGCAGATCAGGAACCAAAGTTTTGCGTGTTTGCCACACAACAGGATTCAGTAACCAGAGGTGGAGCTTAGTAAAAACCCAGCCAGGATCAACGATCCAAAATCACGTTTCAAAAGGAGGACGTGGGAACCAGGAACCAATATTGGAAACCAGATACGTGTTTGTCCAACACTGGACGAACAAAAACAGGCCTTCGCGCCGGTCGGCGCCGCTCTGCAAATATTGCCATCAACAGGCCCACGGCGACCATAGTTCTACGGGCCATTTATTTCAACAGACTCACGACCATAGTTCGACGCGTCATTTGTCTTAAAAGACCCACAGCGACCATAGTTCTACACGTCATTTGTTTCAACAAACCAACGGCGCCCATAGTTCTACGCGCCATTTGTTTCAACATACCCATGGTGACCATAGTTCTACGCGCCACTTGTTCTCTTGAAAACAGCGTGTGATGCACCGCCGGGATGTCGCAAAACGAGCTGCAAAACAAAACAGTTAAAGCCAAGACCCACAAGGTGGTATGTACCTCAAAGCGGCTCAGTTTTCAATTTTACCAAGGAACACTGGCATATACCATGGAAGAATGGATAGCCTCACACATGAATAAACGTCGCGAAAAGAATATACAGAACATTGCCAATGGCCATCACGCACCACATTGATACCGTTTCCAGTTTTATAGCCAGCAGTGGATACCTGATTGATGCCTGATAATGCTGAAAGATAGATGTGCCATCAATAACCCCATATCTTGCCCAGTGACAGCTGATGATCCATCCAAACGTGACTAGCAAATGTGAGCTGATATTGCGCCATCTTGCGCATCCGAGCTCCATGAACGGCTGACGAAATGGACCAGCCTTTTACGCCGATTCCGTCCTTCGATGCGCTTATTTTGAAACTATACCGTTATCGCTGGGACGGTTGCGTGTTGTTGGAATGGTTTAGCAATCAGCATTTGCCAGCAGTTTTCCTCCTTGCTAAATATGAAATCAGTGTGTGCCTGTAGTAGACAGCGTTGTTATAAAGACAATATAATTTGCAACTAGGTGTCACCTGCACAAAGCTGGGCTTGTTTTATGTGATGAATCTTACAGACATGTATCAAAATTTCAATGGAAGACCATGCTTTCAATTCAATCCAGATATTAGGTGGCGTTTACTATTTGAACATGTCCTGCCTGATTGCATCCATCAGATGTGCCTACAAACCATCGCGTGTTAGTATGTGACCTGTGTTCTCTGTAACCTGATATTTATTCGACAAAAAATGTGCAAATCTCACGACTGAAGTTTGACGGAATGTGCTTGAGATGGGTTGAGCAGGAAGAAATGGTTAAACTCCTTAAGTTTATGGCTGCAGCTGAGGCTCACTGACTGAATAAACATGTGGGATTATTTCAGAACGGCACTTGCTCATTCATTGATATTTTTTTGCCCCAGAATGTGGGATTAAGTAATTGTGTTTAACTATAGGTTGAACAGTTATAAAACCATGATAGTCTATTCTCGGATATACAGTGCGTCATGGGTTATCTGCTCACGAAATAACATACATCGCATGACTATTAATCCTAATTTAGGAATATCGTGCCGCCTGGCTCACAAGGCTCGTACATTCGGCGTCATTTACGACCGTCGTTGTGGCGGCTACCACCTCCGTTGATGCCGCTGTCGCTGCTGTTTTGACCGCTGTCACCACTCTGGGGGACCGTCGCGAGCGGCCAGAGCGGCCGGAGTTGGTGGTTGCCTCCGCACATGCACCCGGCGGGCGGGCGACCCAGACAGCCTCCCCGCCTACCGAGGTCCCTCCCCCTCCCCCTCCGACCGGTTCCACGGCCCTGTCTCGGGGTCCTGCACGAGGACGTGCTATTGGGTTCAGAGGCGCTTGAGCGAGCCGACGCCGGCGTCGTGGCGTTCGACTGCGCCGACCGGCACTCTGCTGCCGTCTGGTCGCATGCATCCACCGGTTACCATACTTCAGCGAACCCTGATGATGTGCCGACAGTAGAGTGCTCCACGGGTGGGACCAACCCACGGATTGTGGATCACTCCGCGGGCCGGATTGGCCCGGATCAGAAATTTACACCAAACATGGATCGGACTGGACCGGATTTTCAGGTTTGCCAGCTCACACTGATTGAACAGACTGAAAACCAATGGCATTGACATTATCATTAATTAGTCCGTGAAATCTAGTCCCATCTGTTCAATGAAGACATCAACTCACAAAAGAATGGTGAACAGACCACATTGACAAATTGATATGAATCCGTGACACACATATATGGTCCTATGGAAAACTTAATCTTGCATTCATTCCAAGATAACTTAAATGTCTGATATTCTGATAACCATCTTATCACAACATAGCTGCCATTCCTCCTGATCTAGTCAACGATTCCATTTAACCCCAGTGGGTGGCACTGCATTTCAGAGTGAAAACTTTGAGCAGGAGCATGCTTTGTTGGTAAAAAGCACACTACAGGGCTTAGAAGTTCAAACTCCTGTCTAAGAGGTGTCAAAAATTATTCACTCCATGGCAACTCTTAAGTTTTGTGCGAAAGTCCAAGAAAGATCCAGGATTCCAGAAAAAAATTCGACAAAATTTCAAAAAGATCACGGATACGAGAAAATCCCGATCCGGATCACAGGAATACGATCCTGGGAGTTCCTATATTGACACATGTCTGTCGATGAATGCATCACCTCGATAGCCACCATGTTTTCATTATTTGTCAAAAGTTTTTTTTCTGTGTGTCACGCACAGTCATACATGTGTCTGCGTGTGACGTTATGGTGGGAGGCTCTCCTCAGTATAACGGACTGAAGAGGGCGATGGACTCGCTAGAGACCGATGACAGCCGACATGCAGCCACCGCGGATCTCACTTGTGTTCTCCTGGTTTCGGAAAGGCAAGGCATGCTGTTGCTGCGAACTGCCGTCCCATGGTGCTGCAGTGGCACAACAAATGTTCTGTGGTACTCGTAATGCTAACAGGTCGCCAAATCAGTTGAAATTTCCGCGAGTTTGAGTGAAGTGAGTGACGTGATCGGTGCCCTCGCAACGATTAATGCACATTGAGGACTCATATTTCAGTACTAATCAGTCTCCAGTATTGTGAGATACTAAGTCATAACGGTCCAAAAATGGCCTTAGATCCGCACGCAATCAACACTTAAAAATGCGCAGTTAGGCGTGACTAGTCAATCGAATAGTGGGGCCAGTCCCACCTTCTGAATTCAAAAGGTTAGTGATCAGAAACAGTGCATTCAAAAAACTCCTTCGAATATTTCAGCTTACGGGATGCACAGGTGGACACGGAAACACACTGATAAGCTGTTTGTGAGACACGACTGACAAGGACAACATACATAAGCCGCGTGATTGCCATTTAACGATCACGCCCGTTCGACGTAAACGCGAACAAAACACAATAAACTCAGAGTTGTGTCAACATATCATGTTCCGCAGCAGGTCACCACAGTAGTGCCAGCGAAATACATCACTTTCGCAGCTCTTCGCCAACGCCGCCGATGTGCTCGCGGGTGTGGCTGAAGTCGGGCAGGTGGTCACCCTCCGGGTGGAAGCCGTTCTCGTCGGCCGTCCAGGTGACGGTGTAGGTGACGCCCTCCCAGTCGTACGAGTAGGAGCCACTCCTCACGTAGTTGCCGGTCTCCGGCTCGTTGCCCGGGTACGAGATGCCGTCCTCGCGGGCCGAAATCCCATTGGTAGTCTCAAATCTGAAATATAATTATTTTTTTTAAGCCGCACTCGCATGCTGCTATCAATGCATGTAGCATATGCCGTGTCGTGGCATTGTACGCGGAGGACATAAGTCGCTCAGTCCAAGTTGCAGTGACCTACAAGGCGTCGGATTGCACGTCTGTTCTTCAACGCACATACGTTTTATGACACTGTTGCTGATGAATAAAACGTCTACGAGACATTTCTGTTGAATGCCAAAACTCGTAACGTTCATGGCATTATATTGGACACGGTTAGAATTATCCGTGAATTTCCTACTTTACGTGAGCAAGGTTCTGTGCACAATGAGACAACCGATGTTAGACAATATCGCATATATGATGGTCAAAAATTTTAAGCGACGACGGTTTTAAAGGGAAAATTGCTGAACAAGTGCCCTATTCCCTGCACTCGTGATATTTCTCGTGAGCTACAGAACTGTCAGGGACGAAGCGTCACGTCTGCGACCAAATATTCAATCAACGTGGATAAATTCTGGCTGCGAAGGAATACCCATGTCACGTGGTTGGAGTCATGTCACCAAAAATGCATCACCTCCGTATTTTTTGTCGTGCATAAGTGTGCCTGATCAACTCACCGCCAACCGAGTAACGTTCCACGGACGTACGTAGCATCATGCAACACGGAATCGTCGGTTGTCCCGTTATGTTTTAGCAATTCTGAAGTCCGTTTGACATTAAACCCGACTTATCTTGGGATTTGCCCTGCTTGGTTTTTCAAGTGTAGTGGCGTGCTGCAAAGGTGAGAGGAGGATGGCGATGAGCCGATTGTTGGTGATAAAGAGGACGGCCCGCTTGCTGTGTGGGGACTAAGGCGGCTAAACGGTATTTGGAATGCAGTAAATTTGCTAGCGTACGATCCAGCGACATCTGATGGTGTTCTGCTGCTCTGCTGCGGTGGAAAGCTCCGTACTGAACAGCGCAAGCGGGTGGCACCCACGTTCTTCCGACTACCGGGAGCGATGTCATTCGTTCTTACTGTGATTCGTACGATCCGTCTTCCTCGATGCCGTATTGGTAGTTTCTAATCTTGGCATTGCGGTCTGCCGCCGCTAGCGCCAACAGGAAGAGAATAATCTGGAAAGAAAAGGCAAGGTGATCTTGTGAGCATCATTGGGCGGTCACATACGTTGCTTTCAACTCGCTTCAGCCCGAAGGCATTTTTTGGAAGGAAAATGAAGCAAGGAATTCCATGAGTCTTCACCTCCCAGTGATTCAAACGCCACACACGGCAGATATCGCCATCAGGAAAGCCTGATTTGCATGGCCGGTCGACGTGCGAACGTCATTTTCCTGCGCGTTTACATTGGAGGAGCCTGTCCGCAACGAGCCTGAACATCGCAAGCAGCTCCCATCGAAGCATCACCACTCAAGGAGGACCGGGTTCGTTCAGAGTCCAACAGTAAATCGAAGGCGCCGGTGTTGTTCGGCATGTGAAAAGGGCGCACTACCACTCGCACGCGGTCACAATTTGTTTTATCACATGACCAGGTGAGGTAAGTCCTGCTCGTCACGGCGATCCAGTGCCACTCGCACGCGGTCGCAATTTGTTTTATCAAATGACCGGGTGAGGTTAGGCTTGCTCGTCACAGCGATCCGGTGCGAGTGCAGGCACGTCCTCACGCCGGGAGCGGACATCCGCGAGAGCCAACACGGTCGCGCCGCACACCGACGTCACACCACGTGCGTCCCACAAGTTGAAGTGACGCGATCGCGGCCACTCGTCGTCCAGCGCCACCACTGTCGTCCTCACTACCTACCACCTTCATGGAGTTGGTTGGAGGGTACAGTGATGTGCCGGGCCTGGCGCCGGGCCCTTATAAACGCTGTGGTAGGGCGTTGGTGGGCGGCCGCCCTGGTTCAATCAGTGGGAGGCGGTGCCGGGCAGAGCCAGGTAATGCGGTTTCCCGTACTGATTTGCTGCGTGAGTGCAGCACTTCAAAGACGGCAAATTATGATGGGATATTCCGCAAGAGGCCGCGGCGCCAGGGTACTGCGCCAGGTGTTCCGTGATCGGGCGAATGGCTGTGCACCAGTTTAGAGAAGGTGGAGGTGCGAGCGAGATGTAGATTACGGTGCCATACCAAAGTAGGCTTCATTGACGAGGCTAAGGCCGAGACTGAGACTCTTCCCACGCGCGCTGCGATCTCTCCATCGTCTAAAGCACTAAGCCTACCGATAGTCGCTTTAGAGTAAATGGTATGGATAGACGCGGCATGCAATCCCTACTCATTCGCTGTCTTTCCGTCCGGCAGGACTTTCGCCCTCTACGTCGCAGTACATAAATGAATGAAACCCTCTGTCAAAACTCTCTGTTGATAAAACCAGTCCACTTTTTGGCAGCGGCGTCGACGACTTCGCTCAGGCTCGGAGGCAATCTACCCCGAGAATGGAGGCAAGGTGGATTCATGGCCGTCATGGTCAGAGTATGAGCCAGACGGGATCAGTTACCTGTATCTTATAATCCCATCCAAGCTATGGAATTGAAATAGTAGATGGGACTGACAGTATAGAGGTAGACGTAGTAGATGGGGCTGAGGTAGACGGGGCTGGGGCTGACATCCGAGATACAAGTTTGGATAAGATTCAGGTTAAAATTTGCATCGCCTAATGCTTTTTGATCGACTGAGTATATATGTGGGAAATCCGTGCTAAAAATGTTAACGTTAAGCAAGGCATGGCGTGTTTGTCAACTAAACATCATTTCCACTGTTCCTAAACAAATAATATGCAAGGTTGCAGCTATAGATGTTATTGGTACGGTTGTCGAACTGGTAGCAATCGGCGTGCGTGTATCACCCCTTCCTCAGGACGATTTCTGCGTCTAGTTAAAGGTGTATGCAAGTCGTTCAGGCCTTACCGGGCTGGATTAAAGAGAATGCTTCACATTTGGATGTATTGAAGTAAGCATCAGATATGATGAAACGAACTCACTTATAAGTATTCATATAATTTTAAGCAGAAAAGACTGCCCTAGACATCACAATTTCGCTGATAAGTAAATATGCTCCTCGATACGTCATTGTATAATTGCGTCATCGTGCCTTGCACAACATTGAGCGCCTGTTGACGGCCGTTATATTGGGGAACCATGCCCACAAACGTCGTATATAGACTCGATCAAAATATTTTGCTTGGCCTTGATCACTGCATGGCTTACAGAAAGGCAGGATTTGAATGACGTTATGACGCCATGAATTCCGAGGTGACCTTGATATATTTTTCCCAAAATAGTCTTCCCATCTTCGCGGACGTGTACCTCAGAAACTACAGGTGTTCAGGCCGTACCAAGGGCAGGGCTGTGAACTGTACGGAATGATCTTTAAGGTGGCTATTTCAGTTCCAAACCCTTTAGAAATGTGAAACATCCTCTTAACCGTGTTCACCTAATTTTGTACTTGCTATACGACTGGGTGAATATTAATGTCTAATTGTATTTAGGTAAACCACCAGTTCTACACCGTTATTTGATCTCATTCTTCTATTTCATTATGAATTGTTGCGCTATTTATATTTACGCCCCAATCTTTTAATCATATGGCAGCAGTGGGTCTAGGGTGCGTTCCACACATTTTTCATCCGGGAGCCCTTGACTTTTGCTTTGTATTAAGGCACAGAGTACCGTAGCGTTATTTGGAGCGGTGCTGCCGTTTCCCATCTCGCCCGGTTCGAGAGACTACAGCACCGGTTTCTCATATGGTTAGGTTCGAGTATCCAGTCCCGGTGCCCTCCATTGGATTATGAACATCTCGCTTGCCTCAAAGCAGCATCTATCAAGGCACGTTTTGCTCAGTCTGACATCTTATTGCCATTCAACGCATACCATCAGAGGTTTGGCTGCGCTCACCCGAAATCACTGTTGGGTCTAGCTATATCCGCCCAGCGCTCTTGGCACATTGGCCTTTTCCATGAGCCATTTGCAATGGTCAGCACCGCTAAAAATGGATTCGTCGTACGTCTAGCCGTTTGGCGCAATCGTTTTCTACATCATTCTACCTCATCTGGCTTTTTCCAGCCAACAAAATTATTCCGATCTGATTTGTTTAGGTCCGCCGGCACACATGAAGCATTCTCTTAACCGCCGTGTTTGATTGCATAAGCTGCATGTGCGAACGTGTGCAATGTGTATGTGTGTATGTCTGTTCGGTAATTTTTTGTTTGTGTGTATAACGTATATGTATTGTTTTTAAAACTAGACTGCTTCCGTAATTGGGCTTCTGCTTTTGGACAGTTACTGACCTAAATAAATAAGAAACAATTTCCCTGGCAATGTTAATTGTTTTGGTACATTGTGAGTGTAGCAAAAGTCGAGGTAGATCGCGTGACTCTTTGTTATACTCTTTGTTATCTTTGTTATGAACTTTTGCTTGGCAGGCGTGTTCTAGTAAATGGTCTGGGCAGTGAATCAGCAAGTGGCCTCTAGTGCAGCACTGTTCCAGAAGGTCATGACTCGGTGATGCATAGCCTTGTCAATGTTGTTGGATTACGTGCCTGAAGCGCATTCCACACATGCATTAAGAAGCTGTTCCCTAAGCAGCTTACAAGCGACGCGTATTATCGTCATCGCCTCGAATAATCGGAATGTCAAGATGTGGCAAGACACTTCCGAGTTGATTCCATCAGTTGGGGTACTTGAAAGGGAGGGTAGTTTAACAGGCCTCCTACGTGCCTTCTTTTGCATCGTCAACAAATTTCTGATGCCAAATGACTAAGTCATCCCCAAAATACCGGACAGCCCAACTATTGGAACTTAGTGCTTGTCTTCAGCCGTAACATCATGTGTAAAAAAACGCCGTCATGTTGAATTAATGCTGTACAACTACCACTTTCATGCCTCTCAAGAGAACACCCTGATGCCAAAACTTCACAGGGTTGCCGCAGGGTGGAGACAGAAGTTTCGCAAAAATCTGCGAAAGGAAATGGCGAGAGCACTCACGGCTGTCTATGCCTTACAGCCTCCTAGCAATTCATTACGAAGCTCCGGCAGGAAGTTCACTTTGGCAGTCTAGCCCGCCTGGTCCTCGTTTGGTATGTGCACGGCTGCTGCGCCGGTGTGACCACCGCTGCAGAATGTTGATGAATCGTCCCAAAATAACGGATAATCCTGCCCACCAATCGCGGTGTCCATCAGCAACCAATACAGTGCAGCGCTGAATCAATGCTGCAGAGGCTGTTTTGCAGCCGACGGTCTTGACTGAAGTACACGTAACGTCCCGTCCTGCCTCAACGCCACGGTCGCTAAAAGAAATCTCATACCGCTCTATGAGGATTTCATCTGTGATGTTAAGTTATAGAACGCATATATATATATATATATATATATATATATATATATATATATATTTTGCGGAGCAAAGCGGAGCAACAACCACTATACCATCCTCATATATATATATATATATATATATATATATATATATATATATATATATATATGTGCATGCACACGTGTATCTCTCCTTAGACAATGCATGGCCCTTCTCTTGCCAAAAACCATCGAAGGTCGAATAGTCGGCTCCGTGACGATCAGAGCCCGGGGAACCCACTTCCCACGTTGGTGCCAGCGACGTGCTTTGTTCGGGGTTCCTGCAACAAGAAGCCTCTTACGTCGATCTGGGTCAACTTCCCGTGTCAGGGGCTTCCCGCGTCAGGGAGCGCACCAAGGTGAGGGAGGAGGACTGCGCCAGGAGGGGGACCAAGGTATGGTATACTTCTTTAAGGGCCTCCAGGTCGATCAGAAAACCCCACTACCACGTTGCCAGAATGGCAGCCGGTAGGCATCCGATTCGGAAGGCATGTCCATTCAGTCACTGAACAAGAGCGATCATGACTCCTAGTGATCCACCCACCGGACCCTTTGCCTGGAAAAACGTAGTGTCCTTTCTTAGTGTTACAAGGAGCAACCCATGTTTGCCGAAGAACGTGCATAGTTTTGCACAATCGCGTTATGAGTGTTGCGAATTACATAGAAGTACATAAAAAGTATCAAAGAGGTACCAAACCACGTAACAAGTTTTGAGTCTGCGCGTTCACAATTTGAAGAGCACAAGCGGCGATGGCCGGGGTTGCAATTTTCGCAAAATCGAATGCCGCTGGCGGCTGCAGATAACACCAAGCGGCACGTGGAAGCGGCCGTTGTGAAATGCTTCTTTCGAAAGTCTTTCAAAATCCATTCGTGCCGTTCGAAGATTAAACTGAGGCGTACATTCCATTTTTATGAGCTGAGCTAAGCCTGTGATATGTATACTTTTTCAGTAACAGCAACACAAAAGCAGAGATTCTACCTTTGCTCTTCCAGATCCACCACCAGATAGCGGTGCTGTAAATGTCATACGTTTCCTATTGTAAATGTAAAAATCGCACAGGTGATTTGTACGCCATGACGGCCGTTTAAACGTCCGCCTTGGTCTTAAAGCGTTCTAAGCCACCAATTTCAGATGCGTCATTACTTTCGGCTTTGCGGCGCCGCCGTGCGACCGAAACCGCAGGGTCAGAGGACGACTAGCGGCCTGGGGAGACGGCAACGCTGGATGTGGGGGTTGCATTTTTAGTTGCAAGTGCGTCCCTGCCCTTGTCCATCGTTTTACAAGCAGAACTAACGTTGCCCACAAGGCTCCATGTGCGCATACTTCTGAATTTTCCTAAACGCGCCGCACTGTGTCGCAGCCTCGGCTACGATCATTGCGGTTCCTTCCTTGGGTGTAAGAACGGGGGGGGGGAGGTTGTAAGGGGGCCATGCCCCCCCCCCCTCACTTTTCAAGGGGGCCCAGCGACGTTA